AAAAAAAAAAAAAAAAAAAAAAAAAAAAAAAAAAAAGAGAAAAAGAAAGAAAAATAAAGAGAAAGAGAAAGGAGACAGATGCTGAGAATAAAGGAGACAGAAAGGAGACATATAAGGAGACAAAAAGGAGACAGAAAGGAGACAAAAAGGAGACAAAAAGGAGGCAAAAAGGAGACAAAAAGGAGACAGAAAAGAGACAGAAAGGAGACAGAAAGGAGACAAAAAGGAGACAAAAAGGAGACAGAAAGGAGACAAAAAAGAGACAAAAAAGAGAGATATAAACACTAAACCCTAAACCCTAAAAAGGAGACAGACAATGAAGAAAAGGAGACAAACAAACAAAGAGGAGACAGACAAAAGCAGCAGCAGCAACAACTGCAGCAGCAGAAGATACAGCCCCTCCCTGCGAAGCAAACCCTAAACCCTAAACCCTAAACCCTAAACCCCAAACCCTAAACTCTAAACCCTAAACCCTAAACCCTAAACNAACCCCAAACCCTAAACCCCAAACCCTAAACCCCAAACCCTAAACCCTAAACCCTAAACCCTAAACCCTACTCGTCTAGGGAGAGCAAAGAAAACTGCATGCGGATGTAGCTTCCATCGGTGCCGCAGCAAATGCAATCGAGACTGCAGCAGACAGAAAAAAAAGGAGACAAAAAGGAGACAAAAAGAAAATAGGGGAGACAGAGAGAGAAAAAAAGAAACAAAAAGGAGACAAAAAGAAAACAAAAGAGACAGAAAGAGAAAGGAGGAGGCAAATGAGACAGAAAAAGAGACAAAGAGGAGACAAAAAGAAGACGGAGACAGGAAGAGGCAGACAGAGACAGAAGGAGACAAAAAGAAATAAAAGCGGCAACAGCAGCAGCAGCAACTGCTGCAGCAGCAGCAGCAGCAACAGCAGCAACTGCAGCAACAGCAACAGCAACAGCAGCAGCAGCAGCAGCAGCAGCAGCAATCCACAAAGATACAGCAGAGAAGTACTTCTTTCTCTCAGTCCCTCCCCCCCCTCTATCCTCATCAATACTAGGGTTTAGGGTTTAGGGTTTAGGGTTTAGGGTTTAGGGTTTACCATGACGAGCTTAAGGTCCCTCATTCTATCGAACTGTAAAAAAAAGGACTTCTCTTTCCATTGCTGCTGCTGCAGCTGCTGCACTGCAGCAGGAAATATTTTTAGCTGCTGCAGCAAACCCTTAAACTCTTCTTCATTCACATCCTGCTGCCATCCATATGTAAACACCTGAACATAAACCCTAAACCCTAAACCCTAAACCCTAAACCCTAAACCCTAAACATACACAGAGTTTGCGCGGGAGAAAGAGGTATCCGCTGAGGGTTTAGGGTTTAGGGTTTAGGGTTTAGGGTTTAGAAAGCTAGAGAAACACAGCGTACAAACGAAGAACCACCAAACCACAACAACCCTAAACCCTAAACCCTAAACCCTAAACCCTAAACCCTAAACCCTAAACCCTAAACCCTTACCTGAAACTTGCGGAGAACTGGAAGGTAGTCAAGGTCTTCATGCGACACAAACAGGGCGGATCGACCTGCACAAACCCTAAACCCTAAACCCTAAACCCTAAACCCTAAACCCTAAACCCTAAACCCTAGATTGTGTACGGTGATAAACCAGGGTGTCTTCATCACTATGAGTTGTTAGCAAAAGCCTTCAGTTCAAGGGTTTAGGGTTTAGGGTTTAGGGTTTAGGGTTTACTGGCGTATAAGAAAGAGCAACCGAAGAGGTCTGGGTATGCTGGGTGGTTAGGAACGGCGAACTCCTGCAGCTGCTGCAGCAGCAGCAACGCATCCTTCTCGCTGCTGCAGCAGCAGAAGCAAAGCTGCTGCTGCTCTCCTTTGCGGCTGTATGTAAATACTATGTCTTCGGTATCCTTGCAGCAACAAAAAAATACACAACACAACACTCACAGCTAGCTAGCTAGCTAGCTAGCTAGCTAGCTAGCTAGCTAGCTAGACAAAAAAAGGAGACAGGGGACAGGAGACTGGAGAAAGGAGACAGAGAAAAGGAGACAGATAAAAGGAGACAGGTAGAAAGAGACAGAGAAAAGGAGACAGAAAAAAGGAGACAGCAGCGACTCAAATGGAGCAGCAGCAAATGAGAATAAATAAATGAAATATTGTTCTATCTATATTTATATTTATTTATATTTATTTATTTATTTATATTTATTTATATTTATTTATATTTATTTATATTTATTTATTTATTTATATTTATTTATTTATATTTATTTATTTATTGAGCTCACAACGGAGACACCAAAAGAAGAACGAAGGAGACGCTGCACATCTATCGCCCGCCAGTCTCTCGGTACTGGTTCTATGGTTATAGTTCTATATAAATAAAAAAAAAAATAAAATAAATAAATAAAATAAATAAATAAATAAATAAATAAAATAAATTAATTAATTAAATAAAGTAAAAGAAATGAAAGAGAAGGGAATGAGAGGAGTAGAATAAAG